TGGGGCTCTATTTCTCTTAACTCCAAGTAAATGAATTGAACATAGGAGAGCTGCAATCATAAAAAAAATTGATGCAAGCATCAAGGATGTGATACCAAATTCTTACATCACCAAAGGAGACTTAAAGCGGCAAGTAGCTGGCAAAAAATACCAGTGTGAAAGCCTGAAGTGAAGACCACCGTCTCCACTACGCAGAAAATGATTTTTACTCTAAATAACCCTTGCAGATTCCAAAATATGCTCTGTAAGACCATTGTTAATTGTCAAATGATTGAGACACTCTAACTGAAGCCAGTCAAAAATCACGCCAGTGCAGCTGTCAGAGATACCAATTTTCAGGCTATTTTAAACTATATTTAAAATAATACGAAAAATAATCATTCAAATGAGAAATACTCAATATCTGAAATGTGCACTGTTTTGAAAATAAGCAAGCATCCTGACACCTGTACCACTGCTGCAATTTGGCTTGGCACTATAACTATGCCAACTATTAGTGCAGCTGTCATCCAAAATGCTGACCACAAGCAGGGGGTAAATGCTTCATTTAGGTGAACAAACATATCGTGGCTCCTAAATGAATGACAATAGCATGATCTTCCCTAGCTAACTGCTGTGGTGCCACATACACAATTTGGCAGGATGATGGTGCTGGGAAAGAGGGACACATTTCTTAGTTTGGGGTTGTGTTGTTCTTCTGGTGCCAGGCAAAAATATTTTAATTTCTCCTTCAGCCAGAAGAGTCAGGGCATGTGCATATGTGTACAGATTTGTGCACAAACATCCACTCTATTCATTTATTTACTAACCCTGCCCTATGAATATCTGGGTCCAGACCACTAGCTGATGTGATTTGGCATGTACTAAATGAAGACAATGTTGACATCCCCAGAGGAGACTCCAGTCCTTATATTTGGAATTTGTGGGCTGCTTTTCCAAGCTTTCAAATCAAGATGCAATGCCTATAGTTCTCACGCCTGCATAACAAAAACTTCTTCCTTTCAAAGCAAAACAACAACAAAAACCTAAGGTGAACAAAATGACATGACTCATTAGTTAAAATCCCCCAAGAAAACACATTCTTTACCTAAACCAGTTGTGGCAGCTATTAATAATACTGCCAGCTGTTACAGGAGGCCCCTTCAAGTGTACCGCATTCTTAAACTTAAAGGTCTCCTGCAATGCATCTACTGCAACATTTTAAAAATCAGCCTTACACTCAGTCAAGCCTTCTTAATCTTTATTTGTAATGACTAAAATGATTTATCTAGGCTTCAACAGTTCATTAGTTTTAATGGTGAATACCGGGAATTTGAATATTACCACAGCCAGGTGTTAGCAGTATCTAGGGGAAAGTAAGCATTTTCCTGAATACAGGTCATAGGACAGCTAAGAAACAGGAGAGACTCCCATCACATTTTCTAGACAATTGTTTAAATATTTTTGCAACTGTTCCACTTTCCCCTGAATAACCCCAAGTATACAGGCTTAGAAGAAAAAGGTTAACCTTGGTTTTGCAGAAAGAACAGGCAATGGCTACCCAAAAGATCACAAGCCCAAAACCACATGCAGTTCTCACTCAATTCTTTTTTGTGGCAAAACTCAAAGTAAATCAGTGTTTGAACAAGTAAGGTGTCAGTCCAGTGGCAGGATCTCTACAGGGTGCCACATGTACGGAATATGTGGGAAAGCAGATAAAACTGAAAGTCGCATTCATCCTTCACATATATTTCTCAGTCAAGGTAAAACATAGATGGAATATCTCGATCCATGATGAATGCCAAATATTTCAAATTCACCAGAAAAGCTATCCTTCTTTAAATACCTCCAATATTTGACACTAAGGACATGTACTGGCTGAAGTTGTTTTTAAAGAACTTGTGATTTTCCTCCTGATGCATATTGTGAGCAGTTCCAAAGTTAAGTCTTTGTTGTAAACACAGAAGAAGCCTTAAATGAAGCAGAAGCATTTATACGATAAAATGAAAAACGGAACAATTGTCTCAGAAAACTCATGTTTTTCAAAGACATCTCAACTCTTACTTTCCTTCTCATGAAGCTCTTCAAATGAACTCTAAAGAGCCAGAGAGGGGCCTCATCCACCGAATTGTCTTGCGCTGAACTTAAACATAAGAATCCCATCTATGTTACTTCCTGGTCATCATTTCCAATTCATACAGATCTCCTCAGCAGAATGCTCTAACAACCATTCACGATGAAATAACTCACTCAGCCAAAACCTCTGTTTTCCCACAACAGTCATGCCAAAACAACTCTTTGTTGACAAGGATCAGAAGATCTCTCAGCCCCCCGCTTCTCCCCCCCCCACCCAACACACACAAAACATATCTCAGAAATACCCCAGCAGTATTTTCTCTCTCACTGCCTTTCTGCAGGATCAGTGCACCTAACGTCACAGTTACAAACCAATATTCTAGGAATAGGGTGCCCTATTCATGCATGTCTCTGAGCAAAAGTTCTGTAACACCAGGAGTTCACACTCCTGGTGGTAATGCCAGGCAAGGGAGAACTGCTCATTATAAAGCATGTGACAATGTTCCAAAAAGTCAAAATGGCCCAGTGCTGTGCCACTTACTTGTGCATTGTGAATTGTACTCTTTTTTTTTTTTTTTTTCCAAAGCCATTGTTTCTTTCCTATGTTGTGCAGAGGAACACTGGACTTGCCATACTGGAGGAGACGTTGGCTGATGACACCTGACTCTGCGGTAGCACAACTGCTTTAGGGAAGGTTTGAGAGGACATGACGAAAGCTGTCTCTGTAAGCTTCCTTCTAGCCTTTCCAATCAATAGGTTGGCATTTACAGTAAAGAATAACCACTCCTATATTTTGCAAAACTCTCATTTAATACTTACTGTCCAACTCTTCACATGCTTGCTACTCTCCAGAAAGCCTAACTTCTCTTAAGTCATGAATCCAGATCTCAAGGATAACTGGGAGCAGAGTTCCTCTAGCAGTGTAGGCTGCGTAACAGATTACCTCCTTCTCTCAGCCTTGAACTGCCCGTTCTCACTTAGACTCTTTGTTGATTTTCTTACCATCTCTACTTCAAGGCTTTTTTCTGCCTGTATAGATACATCTATGGCCTCCATCGCTACAGTATCCAACTGCCAGCTGGTTCTTCATAAATTCCTCTCGCAACACTTTCTGTGCTAAAGAGGTACTGTTATTTCCATTGTGCAGTTAAAGAATGAAATAGAAAGATTAGTGGTTTGCCAAAAAGTTAAGGAACTGCTACTACAGTTCTGAATGACAGTAAGCGTAACTCAACACTGTTGGGCAGTTTACCGGCTATTCCTGCTCTTTTGTCTTTACAGCCTGAATAAAACAGATAAAGGGGTGGAGGGTAAGCAGAGGGAGGCTGAGACATTTACAACAGAAGGGCAGAGAACAGCATGGTAGGAGTCAGTTCTTGACAAGATGATCTGGTGGGGCTGACATACTGCTGGTCCATGAATAGGCTGAGGCTACTTCTACACTGGCTCCTTTGGTCAGTTGTGCTGACTCCTCCCTGGCATTTTTCTCAGTATTTCTAATCCCAACTGTTTGAAAAGTCATTTAGTTGTATTTTTAAAATAGTATTTATGGATTCTGTTTCATCTTGCAGCTGTTTGGCCTTTGATCATGCTCTCTCCATTCTTTGAAGGACTCATCCTGCTCCTTCGGACCTGCTGGGTAGGAGAACGTCACATACTACAAACTCAGGACGAAATCCCAATTCTTTGCCTTGGTGCACAGGACCAGGGATGAGCGAGTGGCACTGCGTGCCTCCCCGTGCCCTGCCGAGAGAGCGGCCAGCCAGTACGACGGGGCGCCTCTGAGGAAACAGCGAGCCCTGGGTTGCTTCTCCTCCCTCCACCATCTTCCCTCTCCTCCCCCAGTCCCAGGCCACGTCTTGCTGCTCCCATCAGCATCACTCCCCAGAGTCCTGAGCCCAGGGGCACGGCCGAAGTCACC